TCCGAGCTCATATCCTGTGGCCATGCCAACCTACGCTCAGGTTGCTGCTAGGACACCTGCACCCACGCAAAGCCCATTGCAGCTACCAGCGCCCGAAGTGCATAGTTCGCTCAACTCACTCGCACCGCGACCATCTTCCCAGCCTTACAACGCCTGGCGCACTACGCGGCCGACTTGCTTCTGTTGCGGCATCCGTGGTCATATTTCAAGGTTTTGCCGCCGCCGTCAGCAAGACGAAAGACGAAGCTACGATGACTGAACGGGACGACTTCAACCACACTGGACCACCCTATCGCCGGCTGTATCAGAACAGCACACGTCGGTCGCCGTCTCCGCAGAACTTTGGCTCAGTTGGCAGTTTTCGTTTCTCACGTCGTCGCTTACCTTCACCGATGCGGCGTTCCTCTTCTACCCTCCGACCCTCTACTTCAGTTCCCGACCGCCAACTGGAAAACTAAACAGTGCAGCTTCGGGAGGGAAAGCTGCATCTTTCGAGCTTCGTCAAACTCCTCCGGACCACCCATCAAAAGTTTTATTGGTGTATGTTGAAGGTATACAGACAGAGGCACTGGTAGACACAGGCGCATCACTTTCCGTAATTTGTGCAGACTTTTGTGCCCGCTTGAAAAAAGTTAGAACGCCATACGATGGCCCTCCGCTTCGTTGCGCCGGTGGAGTCCCTATTCAGCCTTCAAGTGTTTGTACAGTCCGCGTTTTCACAGATGGCATCCTTCACCACGTTCAGTTCCTTGTACTTCCTTCTTGCACTCACACAGTCATTTTAGGATAGGACTTCTTTTATTCGGCATCAGCTTTCATACCGTGTCGTCAGCGAATAATTCATATGTCAGCTACTGAGAGTTCATCCGATGTGGATCCATACAGCATCCGTTTCGTTGCTGCCACTGATTGTTTCATTTCGCCAGGAGATGAACAAATTCTCACGATCGCTTCGAATACTATAGTTAACGGTGACGTGCTCCATCAGTTTGCTCCAAACCTGCGGGGCTTACCATTGCACCCGCCCTTGTGCGGTTTAACGACGGTAACGCATTGGTCACCGCCTTGAACCCAACTTCTTCGCCAGTGATGCTGCCCCAGGGCACTGCTGTGAGCTGCTTCGCTGACAGCAAGCCTTTTTCGCTGGTTCCCCTTCACGCAGAATCACCACCTTTGTCTGCTACAACTGACATCAAGGCTACCACTGTTGCTTTAAATGCTACCATAAGTCCTCACCTCACTCCCGAGCAAAATAGAGACCTCTTAGACCTTCTCCAAAAGCACAACCTTTCGTTTGACGTACATTCCAAAGTTGTGGGCCGCACCGCCGTTGCAGAGCACAGCATCGAAACCGAGGGCAGCTCCATTGTACGCCGCCGCCCATACCGCCTGTCTTCGGCAGAACGGCAAATAATTGAGAAAAACGTCGTCTACATGCTCAAACGGGATATCATTCGACCTTCATCCAGCTTTTGGTAATCTCCTGTGGTATTTGTCCGGAAAAAGGATGGCTCTGTCCGCTTTTGTGTTGATTGCAGAGCGCTCAATAAGATCACGAAAAAAGATGTATATCCGTTGCCACGCATAGATGATGCCCTGGACTCCTTACAAGGCGCAGAATATTTCTCCAGCCTCAACCTCCGATCCGGGTATTGGCAAATACCTATGTGCGAAGCAGACAAGGAGAAAACAGCGTTTGCAACGCCTGACGGGCTTTACGAGTTTAACGTCATGCCTTTTGGCTTATGCAACGCTCCAGCAACATTCGAGCACATGATAGATACTGTCTTACGTGGTCTTAAGTGGAAAGCCTGCTTATGTTATTTAGACGACATCGTAATTTATTCTTCTACTTCTCCTCAGCACCTAAAGTATTTGGGCGGAGTTCTAACGTGCATTTCGAACGCTGGCCTTCAGCTCAATACAAAGAAGTGCCACTTCGCCAGCACAAGCATCAAAGTATTGGGTCACCTCGTCAGCAAAGATGGCGTTCGACCCGAGCCCGACAAGGTTGCTGCCGTAATTAGCTTTCCACGTCCGGCCAATCAAAAAATTGCAAAGTTTCGTGTGCACGGTGTCTTACTTCCGCCGCTTCATCAATCACTTTGCTGAAATTGCGGGGCCGTTACACAAGCTTCTGACGTCAGGAACGGCCTTCACTTGGACTGACGAGTGCGAGTGTGCTTTCCAAGCCCTTAAGCGGGCTCTGACATCAGACCCCATCCTCCGTCACTTCTATGAGAGTGCACCCACTTTCCTGCACACAGATGCCAGCGGCCACGGAATCGGTGCTGTCCTCCTCCAGTGCGACAACACTTCACGTGAGCGAGTAGTTGCGTGTGCCAGCCGCGCACTAACACCTGCGGAGCAGAACTACTCGATAACAGAGCAGGAATGTCTCGCTGTCGTTTGGGCCATCCAGAAATTTCGACCTTATTTGTATGGACGCCACTTCACTGTGATATCCGACCACCACGCCCTATGCTGGTAGTCCTCACTGAAGAATTTGTCTGGGCGCCTCGGTCGCCGGATGCTTCGTTTGCAAGAGTACACTTTTGACGTTGTGTACAGGTCTGGCAAACCGCATCAGGATGCCGACGCTTTCTCGCGCTGCCCTCTGCCGCTTTAATCTCCAACCACGCATCCTCAATACCTCTCAAGTGATCAAGCGGCTTCCTCTTCACCCACGTTATCACCCCTGGCAGTTGCTGGGTCACTATCTTTAAACAGCAGCGCTCAGTTTGCCGCGTGCCAACGTGACGACCCCTACTGTAACCACATCATCGGGTACTTGAATGGCTCGCCTACTCCACTTAATGCCAGACTACATCGTCAGCTACGGCAGTTCAAGCTAGAGAACAATGTCCTCCAGCGCTATACTTACAATGCGGATGGGCATCGGTGGGTGCCAGTACTTCCCCTTTCGCTGCGAAAACAAGTTCTCGAAGCATTGCACGACGACCCATCAGCTGAACACTTAGGATTTCAGAAGACCTACAACCGTGTTAGAAGCAGTTTCTTCTGGCCCGGTCTTTCTACCTTTGTGGCTAATTATGTCGCTTCTTGCGCACTTTGTCAACGCCGGAAACGACCAGCTTGAGCTCCTGCTGGCTTATTACAACCCATTCCATGTCCCGATACACATTTTGTCGTCGGAATAGACCTCGTCGGACCACTTCCCGTAACTCCAGCGGGCCACCGCTGGATCGTCAATGCCGTCGACCACCTCGAACGATACGCGGAGACCGCTCCTTCACGCACTAGCTCTGCCTCAGACGTAGCCGTCTTCTTTTTAGAAGCCATTGTGTTGCGTCATGGTGCGCCTCGCACGTTGTTGAGTGACCAAGGCAAGGCCTTCCTGTCCACAATTCTTGACGAAATTCTAAAAACTTGTGGCACACTTCATAAGACCACATCCGCTTACCACCCGCAGACAAATGGCCTGACAGAGCGATTCCACCGGACTCTAATCGACATAATATCCATACACATCGGACGGAACCACAATAACTGGGACAAAATCTTGCCGTTCGTAACGTCTGCACACAACACCGCTGTTCAACGAACCACCGGGTATTCACCTTTCTTTCTCGTCTGTGGTCGTGCGCCGACATTCACCATTGACGCCTCTTTCTTCAATGTAACGACAAAAACGTCCACGACTACGCCAGAACATTTCGTCACCAGGCTCGCTGACACACGGCAACGTGCTCAACTCAACACGGAGGCCAGTCAACAAGACCGCAAGCAACGCTACGACACCTTCGTCGAGAAGTCGCCTTCAGTCCTGGAGATGAAGTACTACTTTGGACGCCTGTTTGAACACCCGGACTGTATGAAAAGTTTCAGTCACGCTTTCTCGGACCTTAGGTTGTTTGTGAACGAACATCTCCAGTCAATTACCTTGTCACTCCGATCGAGGGTTTCTCGGACCGTCGTTACTGTGCCTCCGAGATAGTCCACGTTTCACGTCTGAAAACCTTTGTTCGCCGTACCTTTTCCGCCTAATTCTCGGCCGGGCCGGGGCCGCTCAAGTGCACGGGGAAAATAAGTGTGAGCATTATTTATGCGTCCCATCTTTTCATCTGTACATACTCATCACCGCAACTCCAGTTTAGGTTGTGGGGCACATACTCGGGACAATAAAGCAGAGTCTTGAGGGTATTGGATACCATCTTACAATATATATATACATATATAAACGGCAAACAAGTGTATACTTAAGGGAGGGACTAACTATTGGTCAGTTGCCAGCTCGTAATAAGTTCACGTGCTACGTGGCGCCAAACAGGCTCATAAAGAGTGTTCCATGCATGACCTTCTAACACCATTGTCAAAACCATACTAATGCGTCACGATATTGAGTACGCTATCCAAAGTGTATATGATTTCTAATATCTTGTCTTTCTATATCTTTGATTTCTAATATTTTGCAAAATGCTACGAGGATCTCACTTTGTATTTTGATATCGTGCTGTTGTTTCATGTTGTATTTTCAGGTCTGCTGAAACGTTGATTTGTGATGAATTTCTTTTGTGTTCATTTTACACTGCGTAGAAAGACTTAGCTAATGTTTTTTGTACTTATGTGCAATAATACATTCAAAATATTTGTTTAATATGCAGATGCTCTGTGACCTGCGTGCCAAACTGTATTTAGGAGCAGAGACCCTTTGTCAGGCTGTATTCTCTACTCCTGCTCCTGTAAGTGTTTTTCAGGGCAAATAAACTTTTAATATATATATATATATATATATATATATATATATATATATATATATATATACACACACAACCGTACGCACGAGCCTACGTAAACTATATATGGTTGAACGCTCCCGCCACAAGCGCCTGAGCGGCAAAGACGCATACGCGCACATGCTTGGGCGCCTGAGTGTTGAATCGCAATCGTAACGTGTCGTGACAGATTCAGCGCCGCAGCGGATATATGTGCGACACGGAGCGAGAAAGACAGATCAGTATACAGCGAAGCGTTACGACCTCCCAGTGGCTGAAGACGAGCTGCGGGTTGGCCAGTCCCGAGGTCTGCTTGCGTATCTCGTTGGCGAACTGCATGCTCTCCACCACGGGAAGCACGGCCGTCACCTCGAACATCTGCGAACCCTCGCGAAGGTCGCCGCCCAGCACGCGGCCGTGACGCCGACCCAGCACCGCGTACATCTTGCCTGCGCAATCAGAGAGAGAGACATGCTTATACACGAAGCACTCACGTATACAGTATGATCTAATGTTAAGGGAAGCACGCGATCGTATGAGGTGTGTGCTAGCTCCACCACATTTCAAGAGTATAGACAATCGCGTGGCTCTGGGGCTATTGACTCAAGGTTGGGGTGAGCCGGCATCGTTCTGCAGGCGAACTTGCGCGGCGCACATGTTTTATTTATTTATTTATTTATTCATTTATTTATTAAATACTGCAGACTCGAGGTCCAAGCAGGGTGGTAATACACATACAAATAAAACAATTGCGAAACGAAACAATAAAGGGCGAAGAAGGTTGTTTGGTAGGTTAGTTCATTGATCACATGTATTAGTAAGACAGTTCCATTCCCATATGGTTCTTGGAAAGTACGAATACTTCAGTAGGTCTGTGCGAGCAAAATATGGGATCAAGGCCTTTGGGTGGTGGTGCCGGGTGGGCCGGCTACTAAGGGGTCAGGTCTACATGTTAGCTCAGGTCTTCTACGCAGACCTTGTATCTCACGATACTATATGGGTTTTAACATCCCAAAACAACGATACGATTATGAGACGCCGTAGGGCTCCGGAAATTTCGACCACCTGGGGGGTATGTAACGTGCGCCTAAATTAAAGTACACGGGCCTCAAACATTTTCGCCTCCTCCGAAAATGCAGCCACCGCAGCCGGGATTCGGTCCCGCGACCTTCGAGTGAGCAGTCGGGCAACCTGTCCGTGTTGAGGCTATATAATTGTGGACTATATAACGTACGAATGAAGAGAAACACTTCGTTATTACGTTGTAAGAATGTGTATACAATAAAGTAACAACAACCGTAGAACTTGGCGGAAATAACGGGTCGACGTTCTGCGTGATGCAAATACTATGTAACACGTATATCAAAGGGACTCTAAAGTCAAATAACAATTTAGGTAAGAGTGAAAACTCCATGTATGACAACATCTTAAACGACAATATTATCAACATCAGTGCCCTACTTAGCGAAAAATTAAGGTAAATTCACAAGAATACATGCGCCGCAGTAGGACATACTCAAAATGACACCGATCACGTCAGATGAACCGCCTACAATTATTCACTAGTAATCGATCTAGCGGCACTAAATAAAGACCCTTTCGCGCATCAAACGACACAATAAATTGCTGCTTGTTCGTTTATGTTTAATTCATAAAAAAAAACCCCGTCGGACGCGAATGGTTAAAAAAATTTCGCGTGGTTACACTGGACAGGTCGTGCCATCTAGTGGGGCACAGTTGAACCAAAAACACGTCTGCCATCTCGGAGCCAATGGCAGAAAATTGATCAATGGCCGTTGTTGGTGCTGTGGCTCCCACTGCTTTCATTCTGCTGCTACTAGTGTCGGCGACCACGCATTAAAGCCGGGCAACGTTGTACACGGAAACAGTGACGTGAGTTGAACCGCTTCTTGAGGCGGTTAACTTGAAGTGCACTAACCCGATGCGGACCACTAAAACGTGGTTTCATTTTAAAATAAGCCCTTCTGTGGCACAAAATAACACTACGAGGTTTATGGACCACTATTTCAACAATCAACGCCAACTTTATAGTTGCCTTTAGTGTCGTAGACTTACACATGAGACCTCTGCTGAGCATTTGACTAATGAAATTTATAACCACTCATTCCCATTCTGCGGATTATTTAAGGCTTCCTTGTAGCTGCGGAAAAGCAAACTAATCCTTTAGGGCCTCGGCACGCGTGTTTTAATTATTAAAATTAAGGGTCAAATCACTGAATGAATGAATGGACGAATGCTAACGTGGCAGATTATCAATTTATACTGTGAACATGCCATGTTGCTGACAGCATTATTTAATTTTAAACCACTCCTTTTCAGCGACGACAAAGAAGCTGAAGAACAGGTACGGAATACCAGCGCTAGTGCAGCGACGGTTGCCCTTCAGATGATTTGTTTACAAACCTTTATTATTATTATTATCATTATTATTATTATTATTATTATTATTATTATTATTATTATTATTATTATTATTATTATTATTATTATTATTATTATTATTACAGCGGAATTAGGATGGATGGAGCGAAATAATACATACAATACGCTTGTGTTAGAATAACAGAAAGCTGAGTTATACTTGCTACGTATTCATTCTGAAAAAGACAGGGAGTGCAAAAAATGACACAGGAAGTGTAGTCAGCACATCCCGAACGCCTACTAACAGCTGAAGATGCGCACAACGACAGAAAAGAAAGAAGACACCAAAACTTATCTGCGCAAGCCCCATGCAATATGCGAGCTTACCAATCTGGCTTTCGCGGTGGTCTACGCGAAAGATAACTGTTAAACAATTAACTTGCACACGCAGAACACCACGAATGTCAGATTGGTAAGTTCGCTTATCGCATGGGAAAGCGCAGATAAGTTTTCGTGTCTTCTTTTTTTTTTTCTTCAACCCTCGTGAGTATTTTCAGAATCCTAATGTTTTACTATATAGAAGACATTTTCTGTTCTAGGGGGTACACGGCCGAGAGCGATTGCACTTCAATTGTTCAAGATGAAAGCGCGACGACACAGCAATACTTGCACAAGACGATATGGGACGAACAATGCCTTACTCGCGGAAATACGCTCGCTACGTTATACTATATACGAACCAGGCCACTTTGCCAGTTAATAATACTCGGAGCTTATTTCATTCCAAGAAAAAATGCTTTCTCAACAGCACACGTTAGATTATTAGGAAGCTGACTCACGAGGTATACCACTCACTGAATGAAAAGCTCATTACAGCGACGCAAGACGCGAAGTGAGACAAAAGCGCACACGCCAGTTTCATGCCAGGCCGTTTCTTCGTAGCCGGCACAAACAAGCTGTAACTCATCGAGATACAGAGCACGGACAAAGAGTTCAAAGAATGGCGAAGTCGTATACATGCATATGGTCATGTATAAGCAACTGATTTCGTAATAAACGCAGCGCGCCGAGCGAGAAACACGTCTCCGCGCGAACACAGGCTGCCAAGCGGGGCTGGCACTATTCCAAGCCGCAAGTGCGAACACCCCGCACGCCGTCCGCCGACACGGGTTTTGCACGCCCATATCGTGTGTTGTCCGAACAAAGCGACCACTCAAACGCCGGCGTCTTCATGCAAGCGTCGCAGTAAGCGATTGCAGAACGTACACAGCTGCTCGGTATATACGAAATTCGCGACTCAAAAGCACACGATCGCATGAGTGGCTTTGAGAAACCCCGGATTCCAGCAGGGCCGGCGCCAGGTTTTTAGGGGCGAAGCTCCTTAAAGCGGCACCCGTTCGTCCCTCGTAGTCGTAGTAGTAGTCGTAGTGTGTAACCAGTCTTACGTTTTGACCTGCAAGGTGGTGCCGGTGGGAGATTTCTCCTGTGCGTTGTTGAACAATAAAAAAATTCGCAGCGTGCGCGTTAACTAAAAGCCGAATTCTCCTGTCTCTCATTCCCCATTAGCAGCCATTGGCATGTACATTGAGCACTGTATATCTGACAAGAAAGGGTTGCTACGTTATACTCGATGGCCGTAACCTCATTGGTTTTAGAAAGGTTTAGCAAGCGTTAAGCCGCAGTGCCATGAATACAGTGAACTAGCATATACCATGAACTCGAGGTGGTTAGAGGTGGGAAGTAGACACGAAGCAAAAGCCGAATTCTCCCGTATCTCATTCCCCATTAGCAGCCATTGGCATGTACATTGAGCACTATATATATCTGGCAAGAAGGGGCTGCTATACGTTATACTCGCTGGACGTAACCTCCTTGGTTTCGAAAGGTTTAGCGAGCGATGGGCCGCAGTGCCATGGATACAGTGAACTAGTATATACCATGAACTCAAGGTGGTTAAAGGTGGGAAGTAGACCCGAAGCGCAAGCCGTTAGAAAGTGTGCGTGTGCCACCTCTCGTTTAGTCCTTGGAATGCCCGCTGGATGGCGGTGCTTCTATATGGGGAATATATGATGAAAAGATGCGAGATGGTGGTACTTGAAGCGTTGACTAGATGGACGAAGGGACACACAGACAGATGCATGAACGGACGCACAGATGGCTGCACGGACGGATGGACGCATGGACGGACGCAGGGGCGGCTGCATGGGCGAACGGAGCGATGGACGCACGGATGGACGTGCAGACGCACGGACGGTAACACAGACGCACGCATGGACGGACGGAAGCAAGAACGAATGGACGGACGGATGCTTCGCCCCACTCTCCATCGTTCACTCCGTGAATATGCTGCCATTTTTTTTTTTAGCCTGGCGGGGCAGCTACAATGAGGAGCGAGTCGTTTCGAAGGGGACAGGGGGGCGGAAAGCTTATGCGTTGCGTTATGATCATGATTATTCTTGAGGGAGGGGCAAAGCGGGGCAGGTGAAAATTGTGGGGGGGGGGGGGAAGACTTCTGATCTTCCGTATTATACCCGCACTGGCACCGCCTCAGGATTCCAGCGAGTCATGTAGCAAATAAGTGATCATATCCGCATTTAAGGCGTCGAATTGAGAACGTTCAAACGGCTCCGACGCGTCAAAAAGACGGGGCCACAGATCGCCTGCATGACGTCACTTTCCTGAAAGCCATAGTGGTTGCACGGTGTCGAATCACAACCGCCATGATTCACTAAACGAGCAGCGTGTTCAGAGAAAAAGCGACGCGGTTGCGCAATGCGCCTCCACAACAGCGCAGGGTTTAGCCATGCGCGAATGGGGCTCAGGTTCAGAGAAGAAAGGGCGACGTCAATTGGCGGCCGAGTGTAAGGTTTCGAAACGGGAGAAGTCAATGAGGCGCCTGGGAACGCCAACTCTCCCAGGCATCAGAGACGGCACGTCTGCCAGACGCGCCTGGTGGACGGTCTGCGTCATGCGAACACGAATCGGTATACCGCGTACACGGTCGACTTCGCGCCACATATACGACCAATGATGATTCACATAAAATGAGCCACGCCGATGTACTCGC